CCTAAATATTATACAAGGGCATAAAACATTAACACAAACTAAATACCAGTTTCAGTCCAGATAAATGCACAGTATAAACATCAGATTTTTACACAGAAAGATACAGGAGATGGAGGTGTGGCTGCATGATACAGTGATTGACCTGGCCTGTACAAGGGTCTGCATTCAAGTCTCAGTAGCACAAAGAGAGAGAGAGAGAGAGAGAGAGAGAGAGAGAGAGAGAGAGAGAGATAGCACCAATACTATTTCACACCATACTTAATCAGAAAATTCCTATCTAATATTATACATGCAAATAGGAAAACCAAAGATTTCACTTCTTTAAGAGATTAATAGTTCTGGAGCCATGCAGTCCTGGGGTGGGGGCTACAAGCTGAGCTATAGACACTTTCTGGTTTCTATTTTGGGGCTTATGAGAGCTCTGGGGCTGGATGGGGAAGGGAAGAAAAGAAGTGGACACCTGGGGGCCTTGTCTGTAGGGACAAACTAGAGTCCAGATGACAGTGATCAGAGACCCCCCCCCCCCAAAAAAAAAACAAAAAGGTTCACATTCTAGCAATGGATGCTTCCATGGCCATGAGGATGAAGTCACGGTCAATCAGCTTGAGGCACCTGAAAGTCTGGATACTGATATGCTAACAAGGTCCCTGCTGGGTGTGTGTACCTTGTTTGGTTTTCCTGCAGCTGGGCCCAGGTTAGATTAGTGAGGCACAGGTGAGTCACTGGGCAGATACAGGAAGGAGGCATGCTGTTGGAACCAGATAGGTCTGGGAGGCTCTACACAGCTGTATGTGGGTGCCTGACAGCTGTGTAGAGGAGTGGCCCACAGCTGAAGGGCTTCTTTTCCTCCACCCTTGTTTTCCCAAGATATAGGCAGCTATAGTAACACAAATAATTGGGATAGACAACAGATGGGGGCCCTCGCCCTCAACATCCCCACATTCTCTGGGAGGAACAGGTGAACAACAGATAAATAACAGGAAGGACTCCTGGCCCCATCTCATCTCAGAGTATTATTCCTGGTAGTCTCCCAGAAAAAAGGGCCCTGCTTCATGTTCTCTTTGTATCAATTGCTTGATTTTTGACAAGATGCTGTTTGGGAAAAACAAACAGGCTTGAGAAGCCATTCTTAGTGTTGGTTTGAGCTGCTGGAAGAAGTATAAAGTTGGTTTAAAATAGAAGGAAAGACACTTAATATAGATTTCATCATGACTAGGGGGTTGAATGTTAATCAAGCCCCTGAAGATCACTAAGGAAGATGCCAGGCTTCTTCATGGTCATATGAAGGATACCATCAGCCTAACAAAGACCCTACTGTTGCACCTTCACAACCCACCCTCTCCTACCCTAGTGTCTAAGCCCTATCCACTACCACTCTCCAGTTCTAAAGTTTTGTCTTTACAAAACTGCTGTATATAAATATTATGTTAGTTTATTTTTTGTTTACTGTGATGAAATGCATGAGCCTGGGTAACTCTTACAAGAAAAGAGGTGTGTTTGGTGTGTGTGTGTGTGTGTGTGTGTGTGTGTGTGTGATTCAAGTGTTTGGCACAGTCATCACCTCAACTCTGGTGAATGCTGTCATAATGAGGGATCATTGCTTAGAGGGAGTGATCACATTGACAGGCAGGAAGCCATAGTGAGGGGATGGGCTAAGTAAGCTTTTTCCTCTCTTCTCTTCCCTACCCCCTTTTTTTCCAGTGATGGAGGTTGAACTCAGGACCTTGCTCATTCTAAACAGTCATCCTATCACTGAGCGAAGTCCCTGGCACCTAAGCTTCTCTTTTTAAATAATAATATGGAGAACTAACTTAAGGTCCTGTGAAAATTGGAGAACAAGATTCCCACTAGCCCCCCCCCCACCTTTTTTTTTTCTTCAAGACAGGGTTTCTGTGTAACTTTGGTGCCTGTCCTGGAATTAGCTCTTGTAGACCACCAGGCTGGCCTCAAATTCACAGAGATCCGCTTGCCTCTGCCTCCTGAGTGCTAGGATAAAAGGTATGCACCACCACCGTCCGGCAAGGCCCCATTTTTTTTGGGTTTTGTTTTTTGTTTTTTGAGACAGGGTTTCTTTGTGGTTTTGGACCCTGTGGTTTGGAACTAGCTCTTGTAGACCAGGCTGGTCTCGAACTCACAGAGATCTGCCTGCCTCTGCCTCCCAAGTGCTGGGATTAAAGGCGTGCGCCACCGCCCCATCTTTTAAAACCTCTTCCATCTCAATATCAACACTTTAAGAGAAAAGCTTATGGCACAGGGACACTTGAAACACACACCCAGACCACACCAAACCGTTGCAAATGGTGCGATTCCATTTGTACAATATATATATATATGTGTGTGTGTGTGTGTGTGTTTCATTTGTACTATATATATATATATATATATGTATGTATACACACACACACACACACACACATATCACCTGTAGGGCCGGCTTTTACACTCTTACTCTGCATACTTTTCCAGGATGCCACATGTATTTCCTCTTCATTCCCGAGTAATATTCCATAGTGCTTATACTGTAGTTTACTTGACCATTAACAGACAGAAGGACACCTGAGTGTTTACACTTTTTTGATGATCACAAATAAAGTTGCTACAGGTTTTTATCTCTCATGGATAAATACTCATGACTGAAATGGCTGGGTTATGTGATAACTACCTTCTTAGTTTTATGAGAAACTGCCAACTTGTTTTCTATAGCCTTGACAACATTTAAAGTTGTCAGTATTAGCTGGGCGGTGGTGGCACACGCCTTTAATCCCAGCACTCGGGAGGCAGAGGCAGGAGGATCTCTGGGAGTTCGAGGCCAGCCTGGTCTACAAGAGCTAGTTCCTGGACAGGCACCAAAGCTACAGAGAAACCCTGTCTCGAAAAACAACAACAACAAAAAATTGTCAGTATTTTTATTTAAGATTCTAAAAGGAAGTATGCTATTAGCTCATTATGGTTTTAATTAGCATTTTATTGGTGGCTAATAAAGTTAGTCATTAATCCTTAATTGCCATCTGTTTATTCTCTTCAGTCTTTTGCCCATATTCTAATTGGGTTTGAAAAACAATATGTAGTAGTCCTTTGTTAGATATGGTTTGCAAATATTTTCTTCCAATCTATGTGCATGTATGTGCTGAATATGGCACAGACCATTAATCTCAGCAGAGACAAGACAGGAGGATCTCTGTAAATATAAGACCATCTTGGTGTACACAATAAGTTCTAGGCCAGCCAGGAAGACAAAGTGAGACCCTTTCTTCTCTAATCAAACCTGGAACCTATCCACTAGTTTTGGAGCATGAAATAATTCTCAATATTTTTCAGGTCAAACTTTTCAAAATCATTCTCAACAAGACAAATGAGGCCTATGAACAGATGCCTTATACCACATACAGTTTTCACTTATTCCTTGATTTTTATCCATTTTAAAGTTTCTATGTTTCATTTTATGTTACTTCTTTTCTTACAATATTCAAACATCTACAACAATAAATTCATGTTCAATATTTAAAGAAAGAAAGAAAAGCTTCTTGATAGAAGCTACATTAACCCTATAGGTAAGTTCAGAGAAAACTAACATCAGCTAACATGCTGAGTCTTTCAGTGCCTGAGTAAAGTATCTTGTCCATTTCTGTAGGCCTTTGTTGGTTTCTTTCATTAGTGCTGTACAGTTTTTACCATATGTTATACCTGTTTTGTTAAATTTGTAGCTCAGTATTATCTTTGATGAGATCACGTATGTATTGTTTTTCATTTTGGTTTCCATGTTGTGCACACTGGTAGTGTTTAGGAAGACAGCTGTTGATTGTGTACTGATCTTACACTTGATAACCTCGTTGAACTCACTTGCTTAGCACAAGAGCCCTAAGATAGTGGATGGAGGCAGGTCAGCAGGTTTACTTAAACAATATAGGCAGTACAGGAAGTAACTACAGTGATGCCCCATTTGGAGATAGGCTACCTAAACCAGACGCTGGTGATAGTCATGTTTCCATCTAAGCTAGGGCCCTGAGCAGCAAAGAGTGACGCATGAACTACCCTCTCAGTCTCCCAGACAGAATATCAGGATGTCAAAGTCCCCAGCCAAGAGCAGCTCCAGGCCATAGGGGTAGGGTATGGGGGACCGGGTCTTCAGGGAAGTGACCATAAACTGTGGCCTGAGGGTAAGCAGGGGTGAGACTGGAATGGAAACGGGAGAGAAGAGGGCAAGGACCACAGGCGTCCTCATGAGTCTCAGAATATACTGCCCTTTTCAGGGTATCACCGGGGTTTTGCTCATTTTCTCCTTACTAATGGGAGAATCTATCTGCCATGTCCACAGCCCCACTAAGAACACACCAAAGGCTGGAACCACACAGCGGGCTTGCTTATGCCTGTATGGTGGAAGGTGGTATCATCTGATATTGAAGATAAACAGCCTATACTACACAAGTGAGACTCCAGCTCAAAAACTAAATCCCTAAGCCCCAGAAACGAACAAAGGAACAGTAATCTTGAGGGCAAGACCATAGGGACGTGTTTGAAGCAGAAAAAGCCTCCTCACTGTGGGAAACTCACTTTCTGACCCTGCCTGGCCAGTCCCCAGTCCCCCCTGTTCCTGCCCCAGCAGCTCTTCACTCCTCACTAGTCTGAACAGGAACTTTGGCCTACAGGGCTTCACCTGAACCAGTCAGGCCAAACAGTGGCAAGAGTCCGGTGACTCCTATCAACTGCGTTAGCCCAGAGTCAGGTGACTCCTAACTTCTTTGCCAGGCCTTCTTTCTAACCACAGAAAAAAAACTGCCCCTACCTACTCAACCCAGCTGTTTTCCAGGTGCAAATTAAAGAGTCTTGAGTGGAGTTGGCAGCTGCCTACCTGCAGGCAGGGGTGGTGTAGCCAGACACAGCCTTTCCTCCACCCCGCCTCTTCCTCCTCTAGGAGGAGTCTAGTAACTGTCCTGGATTGGAGGTTTTTGGAAAACTGAACCCACTCTCCTCCTGGTTGGTCTCGGGCCGTTAAAGAGCTGCTACTTAGGACCTCAAGAATTTGAGGGGGGGCTTTCAGGAAATGCAGATTTTGCTCAAGTAGAGACCCCTTTTGGGCACCTTCCACTGCGGATGAAGTTCCCGGTGCAGAACACACAGGCTGTGGTAAAAAAAATTAGCTCTAAAGGGGATTTTTATCCCTCCGGTTTCTATCTTGGCCTCTGTCGGAGGGTAACCCTGCTTCTCCCACCCAACTTCTCCTTTGGGGCGGGGACTAACCAGATCATTCCTCCCGGCCCGGTCCTCGGATATCCTACCCACGCGCAGCACTTTGCCGTGAAATGCACGCAGACGGCCGAGACTATGGGGGACAGTCTGGAAGCCTGGGACAGGTCAGGGACATCTGCAAACGCCGAAGAGGTGCCTGTTCCCCGCGTCTATGCGCGCCGCTGGGTCTTCCTGCTGGCGGTCAGCCTTCTGAGCTGCTCCAACGCGATGGTACCGGGCGCCGGGACGGGCGGGGCGGGCGGGGCGGGTCTTTCCAGCAGCCCCAGCGCCAGTTTGGTTTTGCTTCTTCATGGGAACCGACCTTTCTTCTAGCCCAAGAGGTAGTAAAAAAAGGTAAATACCTGTTCTGCCTGGGAGGGAACAGCCAAGACGACAGGTCTGTTAGTCTCAAGGGTCTCAACCCTGCAACTTGTTGCTTTCTTCTCATACCTTCCCTAGCCCCCAAATGCTAATGTCAGGGGGTCCCGTCAGGCACAGGTAGACTGCTGGTGATCCTCCCTAGCGTGGAGCTGTTACCGTCTGCCGCTCAAAGACAGCCAACGCTGCACTTCTCTGGTGCTGGGTCTCCCTAGTACGTGTGAAGAAACTTTAGGTCACATTGTGGCCACTTAGCTGAATGGCTAGCATTTGGGCCATGCAGCTATGAGTTGTATAAAATATAGCTCAGACCGTGCCAAGCCTGGGGGCCATGAGGAAGTACAGTCCTCGGTGGGTCTAGATGGTGTACAGCCGCCTACCAAGGGTTCAGCTACCCACTGGCACTCAATGTGAATCAGCGTAGGTTGGTTCTGATGGCCCTTTTCCCCTGCTGTTGTGAAGAAACAGCTTTGGGTGAAAGAGAGGGATACAGGTGATACCTGCTGTGGTCCTGGAGTTTATTAACTATGACAGTATCAGAAACTTCTCTCCTGGTAGCTGCCTTTACTAGTTGGGACTTGCTGCTATGGCTTGGCTCACAGGTCCAGTTTCTAGAATTAGGAAACATAATTGGTTAGGGATGAATGTCTGTGGATACATGCGGGAATCTACTTGAATCTTTCCTTCTGTAGATGCGGGAAATCCTGGGACACTTGGGTAGTGTCCTGCTGTCCTTATGGAGCAAACAGAATGTTACCCTGATGCTAAAAATTGTCACGATCCAGGCTGGGTCCTCATTGTAACCTGTGGACTACATGTTCAGTCATGCTTCCTGGAGTCCCTGCTCCTTTGTAGCTGGTGACGGGGCTCCAGGATTCTGAGAGAGCAGCCTGAGGGGTACATAGCTGTGAGACCAAAAGATGGCCCTGTGATTTACATGGGAAGGAGGTCAGGGGGTGAGCTAGGGCAAGGCTGAGAGCTGGTTCAAAGTATTGTCCAGTAGGTGAGATAGATGGACTTTTTTTCTTCCCACATCTGTCGCGTGATATCTCTGCCCTCTTGTATGTGGACCACAGCTCTGGGAGGAACAAGAACAAAGGTGAGAGACTTGCTAGATAGGCTCTGGGTTTTTTTCTTTTTCTTTTTTTTCTTTTTTGGATTTTTGAGACAGGGTTTCTCTATAGTTTTTGGTGCCTGTCCTGGAACTAGCTCTTGTGGACCAGGCTGGCCTCAAACTCACGGAGATCCACCTGCCTCTGTCTCCCAAGTGCTGGGATTAAAGGCGTGCACCACCACCACCCTGTGGGCTCTGTTTTTCTTGCTCAGCACACAGGTTCTGAAAACATACCTGGTCCCTGTTTGCTCTATGAGGCCAGGTAGGAGGCAACTGGGCCTGCATGGGGCACTTTATAAGTCTGGGAGACCTATCTGTTCTTGTATCTTTCTCTGAGAAAAAAAGGAAATGCAGCTGTTGCACAACCTTGGGGTTTCCTGAGGCTTTGTGGTTGGGAAGCCTGACACTCTCTGTTCAGCTGTGGAGGGTGTGGCTTGGACCTTTGACATCCTGAGTAGGGTTCATCAGGAACTTTGATTTGGGACACACCCTTGTTGGGCCACAAATCTATTCTCTCTACTGTTCTAAGCTTGGGTGACCTCTTCTTTCCACTCAGCCCCCAGAAAAACTTCCTCCACATTTTTTTTCACTTTTCCGGGCTTCAGAGTCCCTATGCTTTGTAATGCCTAAGACAGGAGGATGTTGTGCAGAGAGAGATGTCATTGATTCCATCCATCCCTAAAAAAGTCCTGGGCTCTGAACTCTTCTGTCTTGGCTCTCTTTGGCCCCTTCTTGATCCTCATGCATGTTCTGAGCCCCCAAGGGCTCAGATTTTAGCCGTGTCTGGATGTCTGGCATGTCCACACACCAGACCAGGCCTCATAGTCTTCTCCAAAATGTGTTCCTTGTCTATCTTGTCTCAGCACATTGCTCAACCATGAAATTTGGAACCATGGCTACCATCTGCACTCACGCCCATATCTCCCCCTCTTACCCTGTGTGCTTCAGGACTATGTCCTTAAGTGCTATGACCCACTCAGTGTGCAGGATATCCCACCCACTGAGATTCTGGCTTCTCTGTCTCTCATTACTCACAGCCAAGTCTCAGCTGCCCACTTTCATATTTCCACCACCTTCAACACAGTACTTTCCAAGCAATGGACATGATCTCCATTGATTGCCTTTAGCCTCAGAGATTCAGACCAATTCTGATGAGGTTAGTGGTCCTTCAGACTCTGGCCAGGTTTTTGGCCTCATGTCTGCCTCCAGGCTGGTTCATGGTTCACTGCTGGGCAGGCTGTGGGCCATACCTGGCTGCTTTCATGGTTTGTAACAGAACAAGGGTGATTCTCTAGCAGGGTGACCCAAAGTTTCTGGTAGGCTCTGTCCTCATAGACTTTACAGGCATGCCCACACCCCTGCTCCTACCCTGAGCTAGTCAAATGTGGGCTGTCTAGGTAATGTCTGTGACCCATAGCTGATTATGTGTGTCCCATAGCTATGGCTCAGCTTCGCACCTGTAGCAGACACCATCGCACAGCACTTCTTCCTGTCCATGGAGCAGATCAACTGGCTGTCACTAGTCTACCTTGTGGTATCCATCCCATTTGGCATGGCAGCCATCTGGGTTCTGGACTCTGTTGGGCTCCGTGAAGCGGTAAGTTATCTCATACCTGTGTGAGATGGGGAGGGACTCTTTGACTTTGGGTGCAGAAGTTCGGTCTCATCTCCAGATTAGAGTCTACTAGTCCTTCTGGCTGGGCTCTCCAGGCAAAGCAGCTGGGGAGGGCAGGTAGATATTGGGGTATCCCTATAAGGTAGGGATAGGCATCTGGAGATGTAGGTGTGAAGGGTCTTGACTGCCATATAGTCTTTTGACTGTCCATTCCTACAGACTATCCTGGGTGCATGGTTGAATTTTGCTGGGAGTTTGCTACGTGCTGTGCCCTGCTTGGATGTCAGGATCCCCAGTCCATTTGCCTTCTTCATGAGTGGCCAGAGCCTCTGTGCCTTGGCCCAGACCCTGGTCATCTCTTCTCCAGCCAAGCTGGCTGCCTTATGGTTCCCAGAGCACCAGAGAGCCACAGCTAACATGATCGGCACTATGTGTGAGTCCCGGGGTGGGACCTCTGCAACTTGGGCTCAGCTCACAGACCCTGCTGGATGTGTGTCCTCTGCTCTCCAGCTTGGGCCAAAGCCAAGGTGCCTGAAACAGGCAGGATTCCCTACAAGGGCTAGGGTGAGGCCTGTCACAACTGAGCTTATACAACTGTTTTTCTACCCAGCAAATCCTCTGGGCATCCTTGTGGCAAATGTGCTATCTCCTGCCCTAGTCAAGAAGGCAGAAGACATCCCCATGATGGTGAGGGGCTCTTGATGATCTTACATGTGCTTGTGTACAGTACATATGGTAGTTTTACTGGTATGTGATCTATACACACATACATATACCTGGTATATATAAATGCTTGTTGTTATGACATCCTAGGTATGTTAACATGATCTGCTTCTTATGTAGGACTAAGTATGGAGTTGGGAAGTTGGGCTGGTGTTATCAATGCTAGGTTCTACATACAGCCATAAAGAACAGATGAGGGTAGAGGGATTCAGCCCCCCAAAGGAGCGGGGTTTGCCGATTCTGGAGACTAAAGGCAGGTGCCAGCTAGTAAGGTGGACAGAGCAGACTGAGACATGTGAGGGTACATGTGTCAGTGTGATGTAGTATGATTAATAAAAACCCAGAGACAGATATTGGTCAGAAAAGCAAAATAGCCAGCTACCGTCTCTGACTTCTACCTCAGTCCGAAATGGCAATCCTGTGTCTGAGAGCTGTCTCCTCCAGTCTTATATGCTTCTCTAGGGCTGGGATTAAAGGCCTGCAACACTAGTCTGGCTTCTTTGTGACACTCAGAATCTCTCCCCAGCTTGGTATCTACATTATCCCTGCTGCCCTTGCCTGTCTCTTGGCCACTGCCTGCCTCTGGGAGAGCGTGCCTCCTAGCCCTCCATCCACAGGGGCTGCCAGTTCCACTTCAGAGAGTTTCCTCCACGGCCTCAAACTGGTGGGTTATGTGGGTTCTGGGGGCAGGGAAGCTGTGTTCAGAAGCTTGCTTGGGCTCCTGAGTTGAGGGCTGTTTTTCCTTCTAGCTCATCCAGAATAAGGCCTATGTCATCCTGGCCATATGCTTCGGTGGTGGCATTGGTATCTTCTCCAGCTTCTCAGCCCTCCTGGAACAGATCCTTTGTGCCAATGGCTACTCCAATGTAAGTTGTAGCCCTGCCTTTGGAGGGGGCTCTGCCTGTGCAAGGGTTACCTACTGCTCCTGAGCACCCAGTTCACCCCTGCCCTATAGGGGTGAGATCAACAGCCACTCATGGAGATGGTAGCCATGGCTGTTTATATATCTCTGGGTCATGACCTCTGCCTCCTGACACAGTGGCTGGTGTAGGTCTCTCATGGGCCATAGGCATGTATCTAGGGTCTATGGGGTATCTGTGGTGATACCCCTTTCCCTTTAGTGAGGTTCACATTGTAGAAAGTCCATGCTAGGAGGCAGCTTGATAGGGTTGCCTAGACTGGCCCTCTGGAACCTCCCTGGTGATGATGTATGCTCTCAGGAGCCCTGGTGGCTCCCTGCCTCTGGATGGTTCTAAGCTTGCCCTCCCCACTTCTAGGAGTTCTCAGGCCTCTGTGGGGCTCTCTTCATCGTGTTTGGGATTTTGGGGGCACTGCTTCTAGGCCTGTATGTGGATCGGACCAAGCACTTCACCGAAGCCACCAAGATAGGCCTCTGTCTGACTTCCATGACCTTCGTGGCCTTTGCTCTGGTGAGACTCATCGGGAACAAAGATGGAGGGAGACTATGGCAGATGGGCAGGTGAGGGACAGCGGTGGCTTCCCCAGAGCTGGCGCCTCAGTGTCGGGTAACCCTGGGTAGGACTGGCTTCACTGCCACACTCTGTCACTCAGTCTAGGAACTCACAGGGGAGGTGGCATGACTCACCGCCATCCCTGTTTCATTCTCTACCCCTTGTTGGTGCCAGGTGTCCCAGCTGCAGGGACAGACCTTTGCGTTGGCTGCCATCTGCTCCCTCCTGGGGCTGTTTGGCTTCTCAGTGGCACCCGTGGTCATGGAGTTGGCAGTTGAATGCTCGTTTCCTGTGGGTGAAGGTGCCTCTGCTGGCTTGATTTTTGTCCTGGGGTGAGTATCCTTCTGGGTGGCATTGATCACTTCTCCCAGGGTATGGATCTTGCGCCATGGCTCCCGATCCTTGAAGCTAGGAACGTGCTTGCTCTGACCAGGATAAGCATGTACTGAGTACTTGCTGCGGGCACACCTGTGCCTCTGCAGGGCCAGTGTGGACAAAGGCAGCCTACTGCTTCAGGAGTGACAGGTGTTTCTCCGGTGGGCATAGGTGTTTTTTCCTTCCCAAGATAGCTTTCAGCGTGGTGGGCAGAGAGCTTTGCTGCCCAGGCTGAGGGCCCTCTATATCTAGGCAGGCCGAGGGTGTGCTCATCATGCTGCTACTGACGGCGCTGACCATGAGGCGAACAGGCCCATCCTTTTCTACCTGCCAGCAGGGTGAGGAGCCTCTAGACTGGACAGGTGAGTTTCTGAGCCCAGGCCTTGGCCTCAGAGAGCTAAGACCAGACCAGGAAGATAGGGTATTAGGAGGCCTGGCCCAGCTGAGGATATTGGATCTTGTTGGTCTTTACACCCTACTGGGCAGTCACCAGTTGGTATGGGTGTGAAGTAGTATGGTCAAATGTCTGGGCTCTGCTTATAGGTGTAGTCCCAAGACCCTAACACAAATCCAGCATCAGTATCCCCGCCCCCCTGTGACATGTTTCAAAATCCAGGAATATAGAGACAGATCTTAGAAAGGGGGCAGAGATCTTGAAGTGAAAAGGAGGGAAAGAGACAAAGAAGGGGATAGAAATAGAAATTTACATAGAAATAGAGACAGGAACAGAGAGAGAAAGGGGCATAGAGACCTGGACAGATGGGGGGAGGTTGATCAGAGATGGACAGGGTTGAGAGAGACAGAGATAGAGGTTTTCGGATGAGTGTGGTTAGAGACCAGAAGTACACCCGTGTCCCTATAACCTGTGGTTCCCAGCTGTTGGAACCTGGGTCTGAGAACATCCTGTGGGCTGTTGAGGCCAGAGACCAAGACTGTCTGTGGACCTCTCTGTGGTCACTGTCCCTAGGGTCAGCTGTGTCAGGCCTACTAAGGCTTGCCTGTGGTAGTTGAGGGACAGACCTGTGCTTGTGTTTTTAGTGTCTCTGCTGCTGATGGCTGGCCTATGTACCATTTTCACCTGTGTCTTGGTGCTCTTCTTCAACACCCCGTATCGACGCCTGGAGGCTGAGTCTGGAGAGCCCCCTTCGCCCAGGATATGTGACAAGGAGCCAACGATAATAAGCTCCACTCAAGTGCCGCCCCTTGAGACTTCTGGCTTAACACCTCCAGCTGGGGCCTTGCAGGAAGCTCCTTGTCCTGCCTCTCTTCCCAAAGGACACTCAGAATGGGCAGAGACATCTGGTAAAGCAGAGACTTGCTAGGGTCTCTGTCTGTGCCTGTCACGCTAAAAACTCTGACAGGGACACAAAGTCTTTAGCATACCTAGGGCATGAGAGGATTGCCTTTTGGTCCTTAGGTAGACAACGATAGATTGAAAATAACTGCTGTTGTGTGGATACTGGTCAGTTAGGGTAGACCCTGGCCAAGCCAGACTTGTGGTGGCTGTTGTGTGGATACTGGTCAGTTAGGGTTGACCCTGGCCTAGCCAGACATGTGTGGCTGTTGCAGGGAGCATCTGTTCAGGGGCCGGAGTGAGTGGAAGATTCCTGGTAGGAAACTGAAGGAGATCTGGGGACCATGGCATGGCCAGTCTGAGGTAGACAGGTGTAGAAAGATTTTTGTCTTAACTGTATGACCAGACACTTAGCCTGATTCTAGGATAGCACAGAGAGGGGTGAGCTGGTCTTAGAGTAGGGAGCAGAAGGATCTCTGGTAGATACACCCCCTCTAATGAACACTCACAGGCAAGTTTGTATGTCCAACTTTATTGAACTGGCTACAGCTTGCAGCCTGAAGGATGGAGAAGCTCATGCTGCCTCTTGCACGTGGGAGGACCAATAGCTCAACATTTTGTAGTCTAGGTTGCCAGCCACATCAATGAAGGCAAACTCTAGCATCTGATTCTCCTAAGAGTCAGCCCAAGATGGGTAGGGTATTGGCAGTGTTGTTCTTAATTTCTGGCTGGCTTTCTTGTCTGCGGGTTAGAGGGTAAAGACATTACGCGAGGAAGAAGACACAGACACGCGGCGGTCCCACGTGGGTGCACTTTAATGGGGAAGGGGCAACAGGTAGGTAAAGGTGTGCGAACATGATGGGAAAGGCGGGGAGAGAGAGAGAGCTCCTGGTGGCCCTCGCTTTTTAACGGGGAATGCAAAGGCTTCTGGGAATATGTCCGTATCCAGGAGAACGCTGGGAACTGTAGTTCCGCAACGGAACAACAGGCAGGGACATCAAGTTGGTGGGGGTGGGAGCCGGGAGAGACCAGGTTCCTGGGCTCCAGCCCAGACACAGTAAATTTCAGGCACTTGACTCCATTCAGTGGGTTCCTGATTCTTGGTTGACCTGTTCAGGGGTGGAGAGGGGCAGAGAACTAAGAACCCAGCCAAGGGAGGGGCTAGGGATGTTTGATAGGTGGGATCAGAAGAGGGATGGAGGAAGTAGGTAAGACAAAGAGGGGTTGGGGGAGGGGAGGGGCTACCAGGAGTCCTGTCCTGGTGGTGGTAAGGAATACATGGTATAGACGAGCTAGGACCTACACTTTATTCCTGAATCCTAGTCTGCTGCCTCTATTACTGAGCTAGCTAGTAGCAGAGTGGTGGTGTATGCTTTGTGGGAATGCTGCCCCTAGCTGCCCTCTGATACACTTTAGGGGTGGGGGTTGGGTGAACCTCACTTGCAGTCATCTTGTTGGCTTGGGACATCAGTAGACCTTTGATGCTGAGAGTAGAAAGAGACGGATTAGCTGCTCTGAGGAAGACTAGGAAGTTCCTACTGTGACTGCTCTTGTGGGAGGCCTGAGGATAGTCTGATGTGTACCTCCTACCAATCTGTCCTCAAAACCCAGGTGCCTAATGGTCCCTGGAGCCCATGGTGACTCACAGCAGGTACCTGATGGAGTAAGGGGCAGATGCCTGGGACACCAGAATGCTTCCTTTCCCTAGTGCTACGTTTAAGTAAGCCATCTATGAAAGGGGCTTAAGACAGCAATAGATGGACGATGCCTCCCTGGGTAATAAAGGGCCAGATAGCAGGAATAACCCTTCTCTTAGTTATTCCAAATGACTCTGCTCTTAGGGTCTCAGGGTGGCTATTTGAGGCCCTGGAATTAAGAGTTCAAGAGGGCCTGGTGAGGTGGACTTGGGCCCAGGCATGTCTCTTTTCAGAGTGGATATTCCCCAGCCCCTAAGCCAGACTCACTATTCCTTGTGGATGCAGCCCCTGCCATCAAGGTTGAGCATTTTGAAGGCCTTCAGGATGGTCTCTGTATTGGTGCCTGCTCACAAAAAGGCTTCTAGAGTCCTATCTTGTCCTAGCCATCCAGTGCTGAGTCTTGCTGTGCTGTCTAAGGCGTCTTTCCTATTCCTGGGCCTGAAGAACTTCTGTTCATCCACATGGGTCATTCAGAACCAGGGCTCTGATGGTGAGAGAGTCTACAGAGAGCTAGATAGGCTGGTACAGCCCCTTTTGATGCCAGTGTGGCAATTTCTCAGAAAATTAGGAAATAACCTTCCTCAAGACCCAGCAATACCACTTTTGGGTATATATCCAAAGGATGCTCAATCGTGCCACAAGGACATGTGCTCAACTATGTTCATAGCAGCATTGTTTGTCATAGCCAGAACCTGGAAACAACCTAAATGCTCCTTGACCGAAGAATGGATAAGGAAAATGTGGTACATTTACACAATGGAGTACTACACAGCAGAAAAAAATAACGACAGCTTGAATTTTGCAGGCAAATGGATGGATCTAGAAAACATCATTTTGAGTGAGGTAACCCAGAAAGACAATTATCACATGTACTCACTCATAAGTGGTTTTTAAACATAAGGCAAAGAAATCCAGCCTATAAATTACAATCCCAGAGAACCTAGACAACAATGAGGAACCTAAAAGAGACATACATGGATCTAATCTACATGGGAAGTAGAAAAAGACAAGATCTCCTGAGTAAATTGGGAGCATGGGGACCTTGGGAGAGAGTTGAAGGGGAGGGGAGAGGCAGGGAGGGGAGCAGAGAAAAATGTAGAGCACAATAAAAATAATAATAAAAAAAAGACAGAGTCTTTTGGCTCAAGTGTGGGGGATACAGGCTGGAGTCAATCTAAGGACACCGTCTTCTGTGGAGGAAGGAGAAAGTTGAGGACTGTTTCTGTTCTCAAATATAGGGAAGGTGGGTACTAGGGGACCCCCATTCCAGGTAAAATATAACTGCCTTTCCCAGCTTCTGAGGTAGGACAGAAGGTTCCTGCGCCCCGCTTCAGGAATGTCCATGGCAGGCCACTGAGACAGAGAGGGTTAAGTGCCAGCTGAAGTGACTTGAAGGTGGGGGAAGAGCTGGCATCTGGCTCTGAGATATGAGTAGGCCGACCCATACACACTCTTCCAAGCCCACAGGGTGAGCCTAGGGGTAATGTGGAGGGGTGGGGATGCAATAGGGCACTGGGTTGCCTCTCCAGTTCCTGCCTCAAATCCATTCCAGTTTTCTAACCACCATGAACATCCTCTGCCAGCTTTAAACAAACCAGAGTCTTGAGGAGCTATTCTGAGACCCCCGAGAACAAAGTCCTTTAGTATAACTAAAGGAAATCAAACAAACCTAGAGGTGGCCATAATACCCCCAAAATATGAGCATGTGCCAGCATTTAGGGACAATGTCCTTGCTATACTTGAGGACGAGATCACACCTACTCAAGGAAGTGTAAGTATCCTATAGGTCCTCTTTGTCAATGAAGCCATCGCTGTTCTTATCCATGAGCGTGAGGACCTAGGAGTCGATGCCAGGCTTATTGCACTGCTGGTGTCCCAGCTTTGCCCCAGCTCCTACCCTTATCCCCACACCTGGCTCTGTTCCACCAAAGGCACAGACACTCTGAGGTCACATGTCCCCCTATACCAACTGTATGAGGGGCTCCCAGGGAGCAAAGGCAGACTCACCTTCTAAACTTCCAGAACTTGGGTCTGCTCAGAGTTAGAGAAGACATTGGAGGGTGCTCTCTGGGTATGCAGTGCCATTTTCCTTGGTATTCCTGCTGGCGTGAGAGGCAGGAGTGCCAAGGATGAGGGCTTTGAAGCAACTGGGGGAACACTCAGGGACAAACCATGGTTTGGGAGACTTAACTCATACAGTGGGGGAACTGTGGCACTGGAGGGTTCAGTCAGTCCACTGTGTCCAGTCCTAGAGGGCTCCAGGGTAAATGGACTCCAAGGATGGACTCATGCATCCCATGCTCATACCCTCCCTCATTCTGTCCAGTTTGTTACCATGGCAACCGTGGGGCATGTACCTCTACACCCACATCATTGTGTATGTTCACGTGAGCGCACACATAAAGACACCCACGTGTAAGTGAATGTGTGTATACACGCTTGGATGCCCCTGCCCTGCACCTCCCTGGCTGCCTGCTCATCATGCCTGAGTCTTTCCTGCCCAGGATCCAGCTTTTTGCTTGTCCTAAGATGCTGTCTGTCCCCCTAGGATAGCGCAGACTTTGGTTACCAGTTCCTACAAGGACAGGCTGAGGACTGCCATCCCAGGGAACTGGACAGCTGCAGAGTAAGCCTAGGTAGCCTGGTGGTTACTCAGATACCCCTAATCTCGGCCCAGGCACCAGGAGGTTTTTATTCTGCCAAGAATGCTACATCTTCATGGCCTTGTGCCACATTATTGGCCAAAGGCTGGGGGTCTGAGTCGTCCTAGGCAACTGGATGCTGCAGAAACTATCTGTACTAAGGATAGAGTGCTACCTGTTCAAGATCAGAAGAGGTGCTGAAAGGCTCTGGCTAAGAATCTGATAGCTGGGCAATCCTACCCTGGTACATTTCTAAGCTGTGACATCTTCCATACTGTGCATTGTCAGAGGTCCTGTCCTGTTCCCCAGGGTCATAGCCTCAGTCACAGAATTGCCTTCCCAGATGCTACCTCAGACCTCCAAGGGGAATTGCCAGGGGTGGGAGTTTGTTCAGGAATGGGAATGGTAGCTGAGAGTGAAGGGCCTCGATTGGGTTTACCTCAGCTGCAGGAGTGGTAAGCTCTAAATTTGAGAGGGCCACCAGACCCCAGGGAGGATCTTGGCTCAACCTGAGCACAGCACTAAAGATAGCACGTTGGGAATATTTAGATTCTGCACACAGCTGTCTTCAACAGGTGCAGAATTGTCCCAGTGGTGTCCTGAGCTGTGCGGAACCTTAACCACTTACGCTGTCCCCACAAATGATCCTGAGCCAAAGCAGATGCCGAGCCAGTCATCTGTACGCTGTGCCAGTGTGGGTGTCAGGTGCTTCTTCTGCCCCTACTCCTGCAGGTAGCTTCTGTGCACTCACCCCTCAGCCACACACCCCGTGGGCCCCAGAGACAGCTTCAGATCTGGAAGCCTGAGCTGCTGAGGAGTCTGAGTTTAGGTCTAGTGAGGGAAACCTGTTTGGTCACCTAAGGTTATCTAACCAGTTGCTTAAGAGCAGGAAAGGGAGGGGGCTCAGTATGCAGATGGCTGTGAGGGGTGAGGAGGTTTATTTGGTGCCTTGTAGGTCAGCATGCCTTTGCAGCTTCCTCAGGGAGCAAGGGTTCAGAAGGCAGGAGTCTGCCGTCTCAGGCAGGCTTGGGTAGGGATGGGGGTGGGGAACCAAAGATCAGACTTATCAGGGCTAGAAAAGACGTGGCGCACTTGTGGCATATGGTCTGGGTATTTCTGTTCCCAGCTCAGGGAACTTTCTAGGATTCCAACAGAGGAGGCTCAGGTTCTTGGACTTCAGACCAAATGCCGGCACAGTTCCAGGCCTTAGGGCAGGGGCTCCTCTTCTGACTGCCCAGGATAGCCCCTCCACTCTCTGCAAGGATTCCTCCCTTCAGGATAGCTGAGCGCCTATTATGGGCTCTGGGGTTTCTCATTGCTACATTTTATCGACTATATTTATAGTTACATTCTCTTTACAAATAGAGACTTAATGAAGAGTCAGGAGAAGATACCCCATCCCTGTGGACTTGTGCCCTGCCTTAGGGAGACGTCAAGATACTGCTGGGCATTGGGGTAAAGCCAGCCAATGGATGGCTACAACCTCGCCATGCCTGACTTCCACAGAGACTGCATGCCAATGGCGGACACAGCTGGTAAGGAGCTTGTCTGATGTTTGCCCCATGGCGGGACAGCTTCAATCTAGGCCAGTGCCTCAACCTTTCTATGGCTGCGACCCTTTAATAACCCCCCAACCACAAAATTATTTTCATTGCTACTTCATAACTGTGATGTTGCTACTGTTATGAATCGAAATGTAGCCAGCATGCCTTTAATCCCAGCACTTGGGAAGCAGAGGCAGGCTGATCTCTGTGAGTTTGAGGCCAGCCTGGTCTACAAGAGCTAGTTCCAGGACAGACTCCAGCTACAGAGAAACCCTGTCTTGAAAAAACAAACAAACAAACAAACAAAACGAATCATAATGTAAATATTTTTGGAGCTAGAGGCTTGCCAAAGGGATCCTGACCCACAGATTGAGAATTGATGGTCTAGGTGTACACAGTTGCTAGAGAGGCACCCACTCTGGGGATAGTGCCTGCGGAAAACCAGTTTGGGTGCTTCATAGTCCGTCCCCATGAAGCCTGGCAGAGAGGGGTCATTGGGGCTCAGGGCTTGGGATCCCAAGATTGTGGGCTGAGAGACCCAGAGGTCAGCCCGGTTTGAATGACCTTCAACTGTAAGATCTCAAAACCTGAAGTGGCTCTAAGTGTGAAAACCCGGTTGCACTGGCCAGAAGGCGACGCATTCAGGGCAGGCAGTTGCAGAAAAGGCCTAGAAGGTTGAAGATCTCTCAGGCAGGACCAAAACAAAGTCTGTAATCTCGCCCCCACTCCCGAAGACCGCCCTGGGCGGATCTGCTGGGTGTGCTCGTCTGTTCGAAGAAAGGAAGGAATTGTTTGCTTGCTCCAGTTCAGAGAAGGTGGGCGACGGATTCCAGAGTCGGTTGTTCATTACGTGCCTGTGCAGAAGTAACGTGGCTCCAAGTCTCCACCCTCCTGAAGTCATCTAGCACACGCAGTCGTAAAGGACTTCGTAACCGTCTCATCGCGAATGCATTGCTACCCTCCGGCCACCAGGGGGCGCGTGTTCGCTATGGCGCATGCGTTTTCCTGGCTGCAGGCGGAGGCCTTTGCTCTTTGCCAAGTCTTCCGCCTCAGTTAAGCTTCCGGCGCGAAGGTCACGGACAAGATGGTGCCCCCAGTTCAGGTCTCTCCGCTCATCAAGGTGAACCCTCTTCACCGTCGCGCACGGTGCTCAGAGCCCTTGAATGCCCCTTGCCACTACCCCGACTTAGCATCGCCCACCCTCTCGAGACTGACTGTCTCAAGGCAGTCCCGGGCCTGGCGACCCCTGCAACCCCTTGCCTTGTGCCCCTCTACTCGTACTCCTCCATCTCCGATCCCCTCGTCCTTCTACTCTAACGTCTTTTTTTCTGCAGCTCGGCCGATACTCAGCCCTGGTCCTCGGCATGGCCTACGGTGCCAAGCGCTATAGTGAGTTCAGGGACCGGGAGTGCGGGGTTCGGGGTGTGTGGGATTGCCGGGCTTGCAGCTCCCGGGGAGGGAGACGATGCTTGGGCCACAGGGGAGCAGGTGGGAGGGAACAGCTGCCCGGAGATTCTGGGGTCGGCTTTTTGGGGAAGAAGTTAATTCCTTCCGCCCTCTAGGTTACCTAAAGCCCCGGGCAGAGGAGGAGAGGAGGGTGGCTGCGGAGGAGAAGAAGAGACTAGATGAGCTGAAACGGATTGAAAGAGAACGGGCAGAAGGTATGGCTTTTAGCCCCACTCCCCACGCCCAGGTTTTCTGGAAGTAGCTACTGTCCTCCGTGGAACCTAGCGGAATGTGCAGGCCATGCTGCAGCACTGCCTTCAGAGAGGCTGCCGACGAACAGGCCCTCTGACCCCTCTCTGTTGACTTCCTGTAGATTCCAGTGAGGTGGAGTGGGCGTTGGGCACCTGGGATGCAAAGGATGGTTTTAGTGTCAAAAGTGAGGTTCTCTTGGGATTAGATTCTGGACTTTTTATAAATGCAATATTGAAGTCCTCGCAGGAGGCCCGAGTGTGTATAACGTGTAACACTGTCTCTTCTCTATTTTCAGCTCAAGATGACAGCATACTCAAGTGAAGCGCCAGTGAGCTTGCCTTTCTTAAGTCGCTGAGAATGAATAAAAGCTTTGTCATGTGATGCTCTGGCTGCCTCTCTTTACTGCTTTGGTTGTTTGCTTCTAGACTGGCTCTGCAGTTGTTTCCTGGGTTTTCATGGGGGAGGGGGCTGTTTCAATGGAATTCGTGATCATTGCCTGACATGGATACAAAGTGCAGCTCGGGAGGGTGCCGAGGTAAGACCAAACTGGCTCCAAGGATGCCAAGGAAATAGAGTGGCTTAGCCACCTGGATGCAGCTCACTCTGCTCTGAGCTCGACTGCTTTTGTCAGCAGCTCAGGCCCTGTACAAGGCTGGTGGGGGTTGATGCCTTCCCAATAACATGGGTCTTGGACCACCCAACTCGTAATTTCCCCTGGGTCTTGGAAGGTGACCCTCCATCCGAACCCCTGGGCTCCTAGTTCTTTTCAACTTGACACAAACTAGTCACCCGGGAAATGGGAACCACTATTGAGGAATTGTCTAGCAAATTGGCTCATGGTTATATCTATGGGGTATTTTCTTAACTGATGGTTGATATGGGACTGTCCAGTCCACTGTGGGTGGTACCACTCCTGGGAAGATGGTATTTGGTATAAAAAAAGCAGGCTGAATGAAAAGCTGCTTCCCCCCTCCGCTTCCCCGAAATGGTATCCCACTATCTGGGACTCTGAGGATTAAATTTGCCACCTCTTCCTAGTGCTGAAGGCAAACTGCTAGATACAGTCTCTTCCCGGGAATGGGAAAACAATCCCATGAATTTGTTCTTTGTCAGATAGTGCATGTTTAAAAGCCTAGTCTTGTGAAGTCCCACTGAACTTCCAACAAATAGCTGCAGTGTTTATAGCAGACAGAGCTGCTGACTGCTTCCTTCAGGAGGATCCCACCCAGGCTTTCAGTACAGGTTATCCCCATTCGGGCCACTTCCATTGGATCTCGGCTCTGCTCACAGCCTTGACCCAGCAGAGCTCTCAATGGATCAAGTATGATGTGCTGTCAAGTGATGTTAGCATGTGTAAAACTGGCAGGTTACCTTCTCTGTTTTGTTCTGACTTCCTGGGCATAAGCCTTTGCTAAAGCGGATGGAACCGAATACCTATATGCACACGTATGTACAAGAGTCGCACTCTGATTTAAGACAATTCACAAATCCTTTGTAAAGATCTTTGTGGGAACTTCATCAAACCAGATAAATATGGACTACACCATTTAACATTCATAGTTGGCTTTAATTTGAAAAAAAAAACGTTTACAATTTAAAAATATTCAGTTATATTTGATCTTTTTCTGCTGTTTCCTAATGTCTTATACCAAGCTGCAGAGTCGTCTCCAGTGGGTGAGTGGCAGGAGGGCCCAGCAGCCACTAGATAGGTTTTACAGGATACAGCAGGTCGAGGACTTGGGTGCTGGACCACCATTGCAAATTTCTGTGCCCACTGCAAGAGAAGATAGACTGAGTGGTCGTTTGGTCTGCCTTCTACACCAGGTGCCCTCTAACAGCACCAGTAGGTTCTCCCTGCGGGGGTTAAACTGGATCTGAGAACAACCCAAGCGGATTATGCTGAGCCTCTCCGGTCACTGCGCCCTGATTTCTTTCAGCCCTGACCTTCCATGACCCAGAAGCTGCCTTATTCAGTGTGCTCTCTCAATGGCTGTGGAGAACCCCAGGCCCAGGGTAAATAAACCCTGGAAAAGATAATATCACTGGGTTTCTGATCTGGGGGGCAGTGGGTTGTTAACTGAGTCACGGGATACAGGTTAGCACTGTGCCAATTTAACTCTTGCTTAGCTCACTGATTTCATTTTTGCCTTTGTGTTGTGTCTAATTCAGGTTTGCTCTTTGGTTTCTGAGGATAGTTTTGGGGGATTACAGGCATGTGCTACCACACCTGGGAAGGAACAACTACTTACTGAAACGTTCAGTGAGCTCACTTCTCATGTATAGGAATATAGCATTCCTGTCTGAGTGAGAGAACATTTCGGTCTGATCTGTTATCTGCATGGCATGAGCAGCTATGCCCCTTGAAGGACAGGTAGATGGATGGGCATTCTTTGGCTCCAGGGCCTCAGCCTCAGCTGCTGGGCTATATGAATTAGCCTCCCTTTCTGACTCCTTGGTGATTTTTTTTTTTTTGTGCCATGTTACAGCATTGACTTAGGCGTTGACTCTAAGCCCATCCCAGTCCTCTGTGGGGTCCAGACCTTTCTTGGCTGCTGTTCTGTCTTCTTCCTTCTTCTTTTCTTCCTCTAGGGCCTTGACTTTGGCCTCATACTCATCAGCCAGTGCCTTCCACTCCTTCCTGTTATTCTGCAGCCGGTCATACATGGGCAGGATCTCTTCATGAAAGCGAGAAAATTCCTAGAGGGAACTGAGAAGTCACTGTGCTGTCCCCCTGCTCCTGGAGGGCTCAGATAGTAGCTCTTCAAAGGTCTCGGGCTTCCCTGCAGCAAACTCAACAGACTGAGGATGCTCTCATATCTGTGATGTATTTTATTTTAAAAGTCATACAGACAGTGAAGTGAGGCCCCACACTCCCCTGCACTATGCTTGTGAGGTGACCACTACTGATCCCCAGGTCACATGAGTTGTGGCTGCACCAGACCCAGCGAGAGCTTGGTTCCCCACCCTCAGGCTGTTCCACATGGGGCTGAACCCTAGACGATGTCAATCAGCATAGGAAAAAACCACTGTAGTCTTCCCTTTCCAGATAGTCCCCAAGGAGGAGGACAGATAGGAGCTTGTGTGAGAGGGAGCTGTTGGGTGGAAGTACTTTTGATAGAGATCTAGCAGGATAAGCATCCCAGGAATAGAGCAGGGAATGTCAGCTGCAGCAGGGCTGGAAGCTTCAAGCCCTGGAACTGCTTTCAGGTGATGTAGATGGACCGAGGAAGACAGTGGGGCCTCCAGGGACCCCCTCTTCCTGCTTGCCTGGCTGCTTAGGATTGGCTTCACCTGGAATCACAGTGTCTGCCTTACAATGTGGTGTCCATTACCACCAAGGACAACCAGAGTAGGTGGAGCTGGGGTGTCATGTGCATCACACAAGGACACTGTAGTCAGGCCTATCTCTCCAAGTTCCTGCCTCATGTCCTGCAATCAATAGCAGAACTCAAACCTTGGCATGCACTGGTGCCTGATCAGCTAGTGGGAACACGGCTGCTGTCGTGGTTCTTCAGGTTGTATTGGGGTGTGCCAGTGGAGACAGACTCAGGCTCACCTCCACATTTTCACAGAAACCTAGTAGGCAAGTTGCAATCGTTTTCCTGAAGACAGTGTGCCCATTGTGAGTAGTGGCACTCTGAGGCAGAGATCTTTAAAGTGAGACCTCAGGGTGAGTAAGGACCTTCTAGGGGTGCACTAGGTGCTTCTGAAGGACATTCACAAATTTTGGGACAGACCATTGGCTGGGAGGTTGAGATGGGTGTTGTGATAGGGTAGAAGGACAAGTGTATTGTACATCACACCTTATCAGATAAAGATGGAGACCACACAAATGTCCCCGCAAGATCACAGCTGGGGATCCAGCCCATTCCCTACCCATTCTCAGCCAGTCCACCCAGGCCAATAGAACACCTCTGCTGCGCACCTTGTACACGAAAGTACATACAAAGTCGATGAAGCCAACTTGCAGCTTGGGGAGCTCAGCTGCTTTGTTCCGGTCCATCATGGGCTTGTGGAGGAAACACAGGAAGATGAAAAGGATGCTGCTCCCTTCTATAAGACTTTGTTAGCTGAGTCTGAACCTTGCCTAAAGCCTGCTCCAGTCAGGTTTCATATTAGAGCTGGCTTGGGAGATAAAGCCTTCGCCTCCCATATCCCCAAGTGGTCAAAGCAAACCTATGTAGTTCCTAGTTCATGTGTGGATAGATACCATCCCTGGTGTTAGCTGTGGGCCTACCCCTAACTGTAATGGCCTCATTGTCTGTCTTGCCCATGGACTACTGCCTCTACTCCTCCCCTTTTTCCTAGGGTTGCCCTTCTCAGAGTTTCTGTCCCTAGACTGCCCTGCCTACTGTACATACTGTGCAGCTGCATAGACCCTGGAGACCCTTGCTTGTGGGCTGCAACCTGGATATTCCAATTTTTCATGATTTCTATTCTACAAGCCAAATTACCCCCTGTTCACGCCAATGACCCCTCAAATCAAGGTTAAGACTCCAGGACCTTAAACTCCTAGGGTCTGGAGCACTACCAAATGTTCTAATTCACCTGTCAAGATAGAAGATTCTGGAAGCAACACTCACAATGGGCTGTTGATCCAAGACCGTCCTTTCCAAGTCCCCTTGTTCCCAGAACTCAGCAGCCACCAGAAGAGCGACCTGAGCACACACAAAGGTTATAGTGGGGTTCTATGTTCAGGAGAAGCAGACCTTCCCCCTTGAAGCTCTGCAGGAAATGTCTATATGGTGCCTCTCACTGCTGTACCCAGAAATTACTTCAAAAATCAACACTATTTCCCTGTAGCTCCATAGGTGAAGACCCAGGATGGCCTCTGAAGGCTATTCTGAATGCAGATGCTCATCAGTCCTGACCTTGCTCTGGACTTCCCAGGGCTTGGTGATAGCAGACAGGTCACATGCAGTCATCATCATGGCCCTGTGGACAGACAGAGCAGACTACACGTCCTTCTGAGAACAGAGTGAACACATTTTCTCAGCATCTCTGAGACAGTCCTGGGGAGGGTGCTGGGCCTGAGTCACCCACCACCTTGTAGGCGAAGAAGGGAAACTCTGAGGGTGAAGCAGGAGATGATCAAGGGTCCTAACGAAGGCTGTCTCAGTCTGAATTCTGTGCTGGCGTCCATGAATCTCGGGGCAGATTGAGCCAGTGCCTTTGTTCAATTTAGAGAGAACTACTCTTGTTTTGGAGTCTCCTATCCTAGGGTTAGGGAGGTCTTCAGGGATAACTGGCCAACAATAGACCTGTTACTTACATGACTATCTCCTTTCGTGTTGTCTCTAGGGATAAGTACTCAACCCAACTCTTCTTGTCTTCATAGTTCTTGGACTCATCCACAATCTTCTGGAACATTGTTCTTTTCCTGGTCCCAGAAGGAGGGGAGGAGGAGGTGACAGATTGGTCATTGCTGTCTATGTCGGCTGAGGGCTCCGCCCAGACTCCTGCCCCAGATGAGTTCTTACTTGAAGTAGAGGGCCAGGTCTGTGGCAATGATGGCAATGTCCATGAGGTGGATCGCATGCTCATGCTGACGCCGGTTCAGGTTCTGGTAGATGTTCAAGCTCTGTGGGGACCACCAGGTGGTGTCGGGTTGTGGCAGATGTTGCCTGTGGTACCCTTGGTTTTGACTCTCAGGGTCTGCTCTGTCTACTCCCCTCGCTCTAACCTGGCCTTTATTTACATGATCCCAGATCAATACTGACCCCAGATCAATCTTATGGCTACTTCTCCAAGCAAGGATAGACATCCTTGTCCCCCTTTGGTGTCTGTTCTCTTCCTGGGAGTGTCCTGGGTCAGATATCTTTGTCCATTCCATGGTCTGTTGTACCTAATAGTGGGCATTCCTGGTAACTGCCCCTTGAAGCAACTCTACCCCCTGTGGGAACATCTCTAGATAGGAGCCTGTCCCTTAGCACCTCACACTGGTAAACCCACACTTCCCCGGGTCTCCTGTCTGTCTGCCACAGCCCAAAGGAGGACATATCACCAAATCAGGAACAAACCTCCTCTGCCAACAGAAACTTCCCAAATTCCAGATGGTGCCTTTCTAGAATTGAGGAGCCATGTAACTTGGCTAGAGGATTCTGGGATCTGTTGCGTATTTTGTTTAAAAAGAAGACACAAAAACAATGTTAGAAGGCAGTCTAGGATGAGGTCTGGCCCACCTGGCACTGTACCTTCAAGGTGGCCCCTCTCAGTACTGATTGCCAGACTGCAAAGACTAACCCTAAGGGAACCTGATTTATGGTTTACCACACCCACCACGAGCCTACCCTCCCCGTAGCCTACTTCATCTGGTACAGGTTGTTGGTGCCACGATGGTCAATGTCGTGACACAGGCCAGCAGTAACCATGGCAAAGGCCTCCAGGTCTGTGTAATAGCTCTTCAGTTTGCCTGTCTGTGGGGAGAAGTCCAGTTCTGGGTCCTGCCACTGACCCGACTCTTTGACTCCAGAAAGCAGAGGCAGAAGAGAATGTGGGCCTAGCCCAAGCCCATTCTTTTGCCCACCCAGGTCCCCTCCACCCATTTCCAGGACTGGGTAAGAACAGTGAGTGTCCTTGGACCTGAAGGTAGTTAGCTGCGGTCTTTGCCTCAGCCCATGAGTCATCTTACCCAATCCCGTTTACATACATACCATGAGTAGTGTAAACATGGTCTGGGCGACATTGAACCCATGGCGCCAGTTATGGTAGGTGATTCTCCGGTAGGCTTTGCTGACAGAGAACAGGAACCGCACCAGGACCTGGGGGAACAGAGGACATGTAGGCTCTGGAAGTCACACCACGTGAGAATCCACCCAAGCCTCTCAGACTGCTTGCAGTGGAGCTGGTCATACCTATTCTCCTACTTCTATCTTGTTGGCCTCAGAGCCCTTGCTCCTTGTTCTATTTGGCCCCTTCCTGTTTGGGAAGGGCTCTCATGCAGTAGAGCTAAGAATAGCTCCAGACATTAGAAATTTGATGCCTCTGTCTCCATGGCCCAGACCCACAATGGAAAGAGGACCCTTGGGATGTGGGATACTTTGAGAAACAAAACAGAAACATCTTTTGAATGGGTCAGATGTGTGGTCTATGAGCAGGAAGGTAGATCACCTGTATATTTTCTTCAAGAAAGAGCATGCTAATATTTCCATTATGATAGTTAGGGTCAAATAATTGTTTGGAAATATTTTTATTCTGTTACTGTTTTTAAAATAATTTTCTGTTCTATTTCCCTTAGAATTTAGTAAAATATCCTTTCTGATACACCAGCCTGTCACTTTTGTTTTCTGGGGAGCATGAGAGATTATTTATTCTTCATGTGGGCTGTGGGGACACAGGTGTGGAGGATGGATGCATGACAGAGTGAGAAGCCCAGGGAGGGAGCAGAATGGAGGGCTCTGAGCTGTAATAAGCTTTCCTTCCTCCCAGCGGTGATCCCTGAGGGCTCTCCTGTAGGAAAACCTAAAGGATGCTATGTGCGGTTCTATTCTAGTGAGCAGCTGCTGCAATTCCCTCAGGATCCTATGACAAATTCCCTGTTTCCCCTATGATGCCACAATAAAAACGTTGTTTGGAACACCTAATAAACAAACTTTCCATCCATCCATCCATCCATCCATCCATCATCCATCCATCACTCCATCACTCTATCCATCCATCCATCTATCACTCCATCCATCCATCCATCCATCCATCCATTCATCCATCCATCCATCCATTCATCCATCACTCCATCCATCACTCCATCACTCTATCCATCCATCCATCACTCCATCCATCCATCCATTCATCCATCCATCCATCATCCATCACTCCATCACTCCATCACTCTATCCATCCATCCATTCATCCATCCATCACTCCATCCATCCATCCATCATCCATCCATCCATCACTCCATCCATCACTCCACCCGTCCGTCCGTCCATCCATCCATCCAATCACTTATTCTAGGTACATTTGCTGTGTATATTTCACTGATTCTACGATAAGCATGTTTGCCCCCAACACTGTCCGTGGAACCCATGGACCACCCCCCTCCACCACCCCATGCCTTTCACCTCTTCAGGGAGCTGTAACCCCTAACCACCCCTCCACCTCCTCTTATCTCCCACCTCCTGGGGAATCTGGAACTTGCGGACTACACCCAGCTCATAGTACATCTGGATGCCACATTTGACTAGCTCCAGCTCAGTACACTCCAGATCGGAGAAGTGGAACTCATAGATGTCAAACTGAGTAGGCCCTGGGAGTTCTTCTTTCTGTAAGAGAGATTATAGGCTGAGGGAAGCAAGCCTACCACACCCCCACTGGTTCTTAACCTTTCTTTTTCTCTGAGCCTTTGTCCAGGAAGACACTCAGGTATCTCTGCTGATGTCTGCCTTCCAGTTACTCAGATTTATAGCTAGATTACTCATATTGTCCCAACCCATCCTATTGCACTGTTTCCACCCGCAAGGTGACTGGGCTGTGAGACGCTTGCCTGATTTGGTAGCAGTGATGTTGGAAAAGCAAACATAAAAATATGTACACAAAAAGTTATAGAGGCACATACATAGATTCAGACCTACCCATCTGGACACATGGGAACATGTGCACACTCACGGCACACAGAACCATTGGTACTCAGAACATGTTGGATGCTTCAATAAACTCCAAAACTATTCAGTAAAACAAACAGGTAAATCACACAGGTGACAGGAAAAGGTAGGTGTCCCATAACTGTTAAGTTGATGTGGGGATGTTCTCTGGGAGACACACAAACATGTGTCTGGATGTGCCTATACATACACATGCATGAATACACAAGTGCACACAGAAGTATGTAAACACATGAACACAGCTATATCTAAACTAGGGGATGTAGCCCATGTTACTCCTGTAGGGAGGCAGCACAGACGGACATTTGGCCAAATTGTGCCTGCACGAGCTAAAACATGCATCGTTCTGGGAAACAGAGAGGAGGCAGGAAGGCAGACAGAGACATTCAGCAAGGCGGGTATCAAGTAGACTCCAGCTGGACACTCTCAGAGTCAATACTGTCACCTCTGTTGGGAAGTGTTGACATTCCTACACAGGTAGCACTAACGTCATGAGAGGATACTGTGTGTGCCAGCGCTCCCTCCTGCCACTCGTGAGAGCAGCTTGTGTCCACTGGAAGCAGGTTCTCACCAAGATTTTCCCCAGCTCATCCTCCTCACAGTCGGCGGGCTCTTTCCCCAGGCGATCCCTTGTTGGCTAACAGAGAGTGACAGGTGAGTTGTGGGACTGAGTGATAGTGTCACTTCACCCTATTATGCCAGAGTGACGGCATCACCCGTACCTCACGTGATAGGCTGACAATATCACCCTCACCCCAGACATGGGATAGGCTGACAATATCACCCTCACCCCAGACATGCGATAGGCTGACAATATCACCCATACCCCAGACATGTGATAGGCTGACAATATCACCCTTACCCCATGTGATAGGCTGACAATATCACCCTCACCCCAGACATGCGATAGGCTGATAATATCACCCTCACCCCAGACATGCGATAGGCTGACAATATCACCCTCACCCCAGACATGCGATAGGCTGACAATATCACCCTCACCCCAGACATGTGATAGGCTGACAATATCACCCTTACCTCACGTGATAGGCTGACAATATCACCCTCACCCCAGACATGTGATAGGCTGACAATATCACCCTTACCCCAGACATGCGATAGGCTGAAAATATCACCCATACCCCATGTGATAGGCTGACAATATCACCCATACCCCATGCGATAGGATGACAATATCACCCTTACCCCATGCGGTAGGATGACAATATCACCCTTACCCCAGACATGTGATAGGCTGACAATATCACCCTTACCCCATGTGATAGGCTGACAATATCACCCTCACCCCAGACATGCGATAGGCTGATAATATCACCCTCACCCCAGACATGCGATAGGCTGACAATATCACCCTCACCCCAGACATGCGATAGGCTGACAATATCACCCTCACCCCAGACATGTGATAGGCTGACAATATCACCCTTACCCCATGTGATAGGCTGACAATATCACCCGTACCCCATGTGATAGGATGACAATATCACACTTACCCCATGCGATAGGATGACAATATCACCCTTACCCCAGACATGTGATAGGCTGACAATATCACCCGTACCCCATGTGATAGGCTGACAATATCACCCTTACCCCATGTGATAGGCTGACAATATCACCCATACCCCATGTGATAGGCTGACAATATCACCCGTACCCCATGTGATAGGCCCATCCATAAGTGTGTCAGTGGCTGTATCGCCTTTACCCATGTGACAGTGGCAACATCACCTTCACCCAGGAAATGTACCAGAATGACAGTGCGCCATCATGGAACATGTTGAACACACGGCTCCCAATCATTGGAAGACAGCAGTCTCCTTGTGTTCAGACCCTCAATTCCAGGCATAAGGGGTCAGTCCAGGAACCCTAACTTTCCTTCCTTTCCCTGTGCTGTCCTTAGTGACACACACGGATGACAGATGGAATAATGATGGGGTAGGAAGGCTCTGGTCACCCCTGCTCACTGCTTAGGATGAGACACAGGGAGTGTCTGGGTTGTACAGTGTGTACGCAGTATTAGAGTTAGACGTTGCCTGGGTCCCACAGATATGCTGTTATCAACCATCTCCCTTCCTTCCCAGACAGAGGGGCCCCGTAGAATGCCAGGCACATTACCAAGATTGCCTGGATTTCATCTTTGTCGCACCGCACATGGTACAGAACCATGTCCTGGGCGATGTCCTTACGGTTCTCCAGCTTGTTCATCTTGTCGTAGGTGTCGGTATTCAGCACTGACCATCCCAGGAACTGAGTCAGCGACTGGAGGGAGACAACAGTGTCCCCCCCATTAGCAAGTCACCCTGGTGACTGCTTACTGTGTTCTATGCCTGTGACTCAGTGGCCAGTTTCCCACACTGCTGCAGTACAGTGGATGCCTCCGAATGAAGTCTCCAGAGATAGAACTTTGGGAAACTATCCTTGTCCCTTCTTTCTGACTCAGTGCTAAGCAGGGCCCAGATGTGTGTGGAGAGGGGCAATCCTCACTGATGCCCCACACCTTTGTCCATGCGTGGTGCTGGGTATTTACCTCCATGAGAACTTCATCTTGATCGTCGAAAGGCTTCCCGTCTTTCCTGTTGTAGAAGGTTGCGACCCCCACTATCTCCTCCTTCTTGTTGACGATGGGCATGGAGAGAACGTTCTTGATCACCCACCCAGAATCATCCAGGGGCCCCTGCTGCAGGAGCAGAGAGAAAGGCTGCTTCAGGTGTGGTCTGGTGAGGCTTGGTGGTGGTAGACCTCTGTTTCTCTGCTCTCAGAGCTTGAATACTGTCTCTTTACTCTTACTTGTCTGTGAACTTTATCTTCATAGGCTTTGTGTTGTAGTTTTGTGGGCTGGAGGAAGCAATTTCCCCTCCGTAGCAAATATCAAGGGCACATGAAGGTTCTAGTCTCTACGAGTACTTCTCAGAAGCCTTACTCTTAAAGCTCTTACTAACTGCTCAACAAAAGAACCCACATTTCCACTTAACATTGGACTTTGAACATTATATAGTTGGTGTATTATGTCTTCCAACTTGAAATATGCATAATACTTTTTTACCTGTTCCTTCAAGAGGCTGTTGTGACAAGCATGTTCCTACTAACATGACCTCCCTCAGGAAAGTGCTATGTGGCCCTGGGCATGTTTACCCAAACCTCAGTTGAAAACAGACAGAGCAGAGAAACTCTAAACCCTTCCTAGTCCCAGGCCAGAGAAATACACCAGACCGGGTTCAATCAAGTGGATACCAAAGAAAATTCTGCTGAGTCCTGCCAGGGTTGAGTGAGCCCAAAGATTAGCTGACTTCTCCTGAACAACTGAGCCCAGATGAACCCAGGGAAGATAAACTAAGCCCAGACTAGACCAGATGAGACCAGACAGAATCCACTTAGCCCAGATAAGCTTTCTTGAGTCCAGTCAAGATCAATTGAGATCAGATAAGGTCACCTGAGTCTAGCCAAGACCAACAGATTCTAACTGAACCCACATAAAATCACCCCAGTTGTAGACCTGGAAGCACAAATACACATTTCTGGTATGTTTCTTAGTCACTGAGAATGAAATTGGTCTTTTATTTTTCTTTTGTTTTTTGATTCCAGGTTGACTTTGGGTTAATTTGTAGCAATCCTGTCTCAGCCTTCTGAGTAATGGGATTGCAGATATGAGGAAAGTTGTTTTATGTGTGTATATTATACACATGTGCGCATCCATGTGTATATGTGTGGAGGCCAGAAGTCCATGTTGAAGGTTTTCCTCTATTGTTTTCCACTTATTTTCATGAGGTAGGGCCTCTCACTGAAACTGGAGCTCACTGATTGGCTAGATTAACTGGATTATCTTGCCTTGCCTGCTTCTCACCCCGCAACCTAGCACTGGGATTTTAGGTACATGCTACCATGCCTGTTCTTGTTTGTTTGTTTGATGTGGGTGCTGGGGATCGGAACTCAGATCCTCATGCTTGCGTAGAAAACACTCTACCTACTGAGCCATCTCCCCAACCCCATAAAGTTGTTCCTGACGTGGAAAAACCTAATTCAACCCACCATTTCTGAAACAAAATACACTCTTTTCAAGTAAAACTCAGTGTCTAACAAGGAGTAGGCAGATTACCTGAAAGTTGAACATTTCGTCGGCTGAAGTATTCATGATGTTACAGATCTGGGAAGGATCAGAAGCAATTCCACTCTGAGCAACTGAATGTATAGACACAAGCACTAGTCTACTTAGCCTTGCCTATGAGAGGAGCTTCTAACTGGGCAAGGTGAGTAGCAGCTAGCAGGAAGGGCTAGCAGGAAGGGCTAGCAGGAGGTAGCCGGCCAGCAGGCATTGCAGCACCGGCAAGGACAGGCCAGGGCCTGGAGAGGGGTACTCACAAAGCCACTTTCTGCTATGTAGGTTGGGAGGCCACTGGCCAGGGCCCAGTGATCGGCTGGGGGTGTGCTGTGGGAAAAGAGCAGAGGTCAGAGGAATAGATGCTTAGACTGTGAGATGAACCAGTGCCCAAGTTCACTTCATGCCCTTTTCTGAGCTCAGGTGGGAGGGGTAGGAAACTGATGAGGACTGGAGGAAGCCAGGAGGATTCCATTCTGCCATGATGGATCTCCTCATTTTGCAGGGTTTCCTCCCTTCCTGGAGGCTCCTGACTTCAGCTGGCCTGTTAGCTACCTGTTCTGCAGCCCTGATACCTGTAGTCTACTTCCTTCTTGGAGCCTGTTTGGGATGTTGACAGGCTTATAGATTCATGAAGTCATTAGCCACATAAATATAGGCTCATTGTCCCTCTAGACCTGTGCTCTGTACCAGACTTCCCATTGGAGTGTGATGATGGCCTCACCTTGTAGAGGCTTTACCTGCCAGGACTGAGATGGTTGAGTTGCTGCTGCTGGGGCCATCTGGACAGCCCACCTGACTCCCTAGATATCTAAGTGCCTTAGTCATGATCCTCCTCACTGTCCTGGGAAGGCCGTGCTGGCTCTACAGAGACACCCTAGAGATGGCTAGTCCAGAGGTTGGTTTTGGGGATGTTCCATTCTGGAGTGAACCATTTGTCAAACCCCAGCACTTACGGAATGACTTTGATGTCTTCCTTGCCATGGAGGATATAATCAATGACTTTGTAGAAGACAATTTCCTAAGAAACAGAACACATCAGTGTAGAGACTCCTGGTCAGCTTCTCAGTAGAGTCTTTGTTGAAGGGAAAAGAGAACAGTGCCTACCCAGACACATCCGTGCACAAAGATACACATCCACAGATAACACATGCACAGCACCCATGTAATTGTGTGTGTGTGTGTGTGTGTGTGTGTGTGTGTGTGCCCATACATTCTCTCTGGCATTCACACTCATAGATGTGCATTGCACACCAGGTTCATATCTATCTTTCCTTTATCACATTTAACCCCACACATACACTAAAATTCACGTGCAAGCATGACACAATGTTTATAGGAACTCTGGCAAGCTAAAGCCGATCTAGAGAATCCACCTTCACTGGGCAGTGCAGGCAATGAGAGCAGGTAGGTATTTGAGGCTACTCTATCTCCTTATCCTTTTCAGGGTAGCCCCATTGTGGGGTGCCTGCCACCTATCAGTTTGACTTACCCGGCCATCCGGTGTCCGTGGGCCTGAGTATGGCTGGGCTTCCCCCATCAGCACTGGCCAGACATCAAAGAATTCCTGGGCAGAGAAGAGAGAAGGACATGCTCAGTCTGTGAACTGTGCCACCATAGGAAGGAGGCACCTGAGAATGTGAGACCTCACCTTATCCTTGGTCATGTCCAGGAGGCCCACTGAGTACCGGTCACAGTTTAGGTAGGCCCGGACAGTGTAGAAGGCCTTATGGAACTGCCTTTCGATGTCTGTCAACTCTTCAAATACCTTATTGGCTGACCAGAGAAGCACCTGGAGGGGTGACACACACCGATATGAGCATGAGTGCCAGAGAGAAAATGTGTGGGCACACATACACACACACGCACACATGCACACAAACACACACGCACATGCACACACATACACACATGCACACACGTACACATACATAACACACACATGTGCATACACACACGCATACGCACACATGCACACGCATGCACACGCATACACATGCACGCACACACATATACAAAAATTCTTAACTGAACATTGGCAAAAAACAACCACTTGTGGTAGTACATACCTACAATTCTAGCAGTTGGGAGGTAGACACTACATAACAAGTTGGATTACAAAGCAAGTCATTGTCTCAGAAAAGAAAGAATATAGGCAAAACCAGTCTAATGCTGTAACAATAATGTAATTGTTATTAAATTTTATACCCCAGTTGCTTACCAAACAATTATACCCCAATGACCCAGATTATGTAAGACCAACTCAGCATTTCAAAGTCAGTTAATATAAACTAGATTTGGGGCATGCATCTCTGGTTTCAGTTAGCTCAAGACTAATGCGACAGGATCACTGAAGCCCAGCAGTTCAAGACCTGACTGCATGATACAGTAAGACCACAGACCAAAAATAAACACACCACAAACCCAAACCCAAAATTAACTCATATAATCTAGCACATTAGCAAACTAGAGGAAAAATCTACATGATCTTACCAATTGATGTTGAAGAATTATTTTATAGCATCCAATATTCAGTTAAAATAGAACATATTAGCTACAAAAATACAGTAATTTTCCTCAATTAGATAAAAAAATGCTATGAAACTCCGACAGATGACTTTGTTCTTCAGGCTCTAAAAGTCTAATACGGAATTCATTACACCATGCAGCAACCCTGTGAAATCATTCTTAATGACAAGAAACTCGGTGCCTTTCTCTAAGATCTGGAATGAGGAAGAGATGTTCACTAAAAATCTTTTTTAAGATTGAAAATAGATTAATCTTTTACACAATACATTCAACATGAAATTTTATCTTGTGCAATAAGACCAGAAATAGAAAACACAATATACGTGTGTGTGTGTGTGTTTGTGTGTGTGTGTGTGTGTGTGTGTGTGTGCAAGGATGAAATAAGGCTATCTTTGTTTGCAGGTGATATGATTGTCTATATGAAAATACCAGAGATTCAATAAGAAAAACCTGAAACTAGTAAGTGATTCTCAGCAAGGTCACAGACTATAGGGCTAGCATAATGCAACTACTTTCTTTCCCCCAATGAACAACTGGAAGACGAAATTATCAGAACACAATACCACTTACATTACCACTCCAAAGTGAAACATTTAGGTATAAATCTAGTGAAAAATATAAATAATCTATATGCAGAAGCTTCAATCTTTTGCATATGTGTGCATATGTGTGCAGGTGTTTGTCATATGTGTGGAAGTAACCCTTGGAAGTCAGTCAGTGAGTCAGTCCCTAGGGAAGTCACCTGTCTCCACATTCCCAAAACTGGAATTACAAGTGTGAGCTGCCGTGCTTGGCTTTTTACCTGGGTCCTAGAGAACAAACTCAAGTTCTCAGGCTTGTGCAGCAAACACTTTACAGACGGAACTGTCTCCCCAGCCCCTAGAAACTTAAACAGTCTGATTAAAGAAATGCCAAAGTTAACACAGAGACACTAAGTTCTTGTGGATTTTTTCTGAGATGTCTCATATAGCTCAGATTGACCTTGAAGTATAGCCAAGGATCATCTTGAACTCCTGATCCTTCTGCCTCCATCTCCCAAGTGCTAGGTTTGCAAACGCGCCAGCTTTTATGTCGCGCTGGGCACTGAGCCCAGTTTTCAGGAATGGAAGGGAAGCACTCTTACCAAGTAAGTCGTATCCCAAGCCCGGAAGACTCACATTTTTTTTTTTGTTCTTTTTGTTTTTTGTTCTTTTTTTTGGTTTTTCGAGGCAGGATTTCTCTGTGTAGCCCTGGCTGTCCTAGAACTCACTCTGTAGATCAAGTTGACCTCTAAGTCACAGAAATCCACCTGCCTCTCGAGGACTGGGATTAAAGGCATGGGCCACCACTACTCGGCTCAGACTCACTATTTTTAAGATGTTAATTTTTTTCCATCTTAGTATAGACTTAGAAAAATCCAAGTTGTACCTGCAATCTATTTTACAAATCTTGAAAACTTGACTATAAAGTCTATGTGGAAAGACAAAATACCCAAAATAGCCAACACAACCCTGGAAAAGAAACAATATTGGGAGACTGATATTTTTAACCTCAAAATTTTCTCTAGACTACAATGATCAATGGGAAGAAGAAAACCAGAGAATCCAAAAAATAGAGCTGCACACATGTATTCAACTATCCTTTGACAAATAGGAAAAGCTATTCAGGGAGAAACTGTTGTCTTCTGCAAATGGTTAAAACCTGGCTATCCATATGCAAAAGAGAACCCAGACCCAGACTTTACAATGTTCATCAAACTAATAAGCCTAAACTCAGACTCCCAGATGTAAACTCCTAGAAGATGACCTACCTGAAAGACAACCTGCGTAATCTTGGGTTTAAGGATGAAGTTTTAGGTATAATAATCTATGAAGATGACTATGATAAATTGGAGTTATTAAAATTTCAAACTTCTGTCTTGCCACATGTACTATTAAGAAAATGAAAAGAAAAGGGAGGAAACATACTTCTGGTAAAGGACTTATATCTAAAATTTATACGAATATATTCTTCTTTGTTTTTGTTGTTTGAGACATGGCATTTCTATGAAGCTCTGGCTAGTCTAAAACTCACTAAGATCACTGTGTGGAGAAGGCTGGTCTGGAACTTGAGGATGATCCTTCTGAATGGGTGTTGGGATTATAGACCTTGTGCTCTCCTCTCTCTCTCTCTCTCGCATTATATCTCTGTGTGGGTGTGTGCACATAAGTGTGGATGTATGTGAATGTAGGTGTCTACAGAAGCCAGAGACATTGGACCACCTGGAAGTAGAATTATAGGCAGTTGTGGACTGAACTCAGGTAGTCTGAAAGAGTAGTACTCATTTTCAGCTATAGAGCCATCTCTCCCACCGTATGTATGTATGTATGTATGTATGTGTATATATGTATATGTAAAGATATATTTTAAACTAAACAAGAAAGAATGTAGACCAAAAGCATTCAAGTGTACTGTTTAGTGCAGAGGCAGGGAGAAGGTGCTAATTTATTTTTAGGATAGAAGGCAAAGGGGTTGCATAATCTCTGTGCTCTGCTCTTTTCATAGGAGTGAAGATTAACATTCTTGATCAAAAAAATTCTTACATTTTGGAGGTGGATGGTGGATTAGAGGAGCCAGGGCTCTCTCTCTTGAGAGTACATACCAAGAAGAAGAAAAAGCTCTCTGTGGCAATGGATCAGGGCTGGAAATATCAATCAGAAATTATATCTAATTTTATACACGTATGATGGTTATATGTGGTATACCCATTGTGTAGGCACATATGGGTTAGCACACATAATCTTTTTCTGTCAGGTGAGAGGGGCCTTGGAGCAACAAAATAAATATACTGAGTACTCAGATCTTAGCTTCTATCAGAGCTATCTAATATACGATCTGGGCTTCTTGGAGAAATGATGGGTCTAGGGCTGGGGCAGGAAGCATATCAAAGAAGCCGGGGAATCACACAGCGATGAGGCATGTTAAAAGTCACAGGAGCCAGCGCAGGGCCAGACATAAAACAGCTTATGGAATGTAAAGAATAATATTGGATCGCAACATAAAACATAAAACAAATACTCATGAGTCTAGACATGAATCATTAAGTAAATTAATAAATAATGAGTACAAACAATTGTATAGATTCTCCACTCTGAAGTAGGTGTATGCCTCCCATTCCTAAGCACAGTACGAGCAATGACTTCCTCAGAAAGTAAAGGATAAAAGTTCAGATATCTTTATGGTTGAGAAAGTAACAGACGTGTGGTGGAAAGGATGCTATTTACTCTTTTTCTGGTAGGCCCGAGGATGGCAGCACCTCTTGAGATTCAAAGGAAAGGCTCTTAGCCTCTACAGCCAGTGACCAAGTCTAATCACAAGAATGACATCAGAACAATTCTAACACCATGAACATTGCTAGCCAGGCTTCTCTGTCAAGGCCATGGGAAACAAGCAGATATGACAAAGACAACTGAGCATCCCATGGGGTTTGGGATGCCATTCTAGGACACAAGGAAAAAGAGTAAACAGTAAGGAGATGTGAAATCAAGCATGGCAGCCAGGGCTGGTTCATTAACTGTGGTAATCTCATACACCAGTGAGACATGGCAAAATGAAGAAACTACCTGCTGGTGAGGGCTGTACAGCTCTGTAACCTAAAACTGTTAGAAAAAAAAGACTATGAAATAATATAAAGGGGACAGTGAGATGGCTCCATGGGTAAGGATACCTGCCACCAAGCTTGTTAACTTGTGTCCAGTCCCTGGAACCCACAATGAACAAACTCGGGCAAGTCGTCCTCTGATCTCTATACCCATGCCATGGCCTGTGCCCGTCCCAACAAATAACAATTGTAAAGCAACAATAATAACAACAAAAGGAAACGGTAAAATGGAAAGTTACCAGAATAAGCGAAAGGCTAGTGGCAGAATTGTCAGTATTATCTGGGGCTGACTGTCGAGGGTAGGGTGGAGGGTGGGTTCTGCTGGAGCAACCACTGCTGTAGATTAGAATTATGCAATTTCAAATGGGTACAAATAGCCACGCTCACGAGGGGCATAGGCTGACTCTGGAATTTCAGGAGCCACTTTGACTTAGTCTCTCAGGAGAGTAGAGGAAATGCAGAAAGAGGAATATAGACTTATGTGTATAGGAAAGGATGGCTGGGCAGCAGATTGGGACAACATCCACTTCTGTCAAAACAATAACTGAGCGCAGGCAGTGCAGGGTACCTGGGCACTCCTGGTGAAGGGGTTTGAATAAGAATGGGCCCCATGGCCGGGCGGTGGTGGTGCACGCCTTTAATCCCAGCACTCGTGAGGCAGAGGCAGGCAGATTTCTGTGAGTTCGAGGCCAGCCTGGTCTATAAGAGCTGGTTCCAGGACAGGAACCAAAAGCTACGGAGAAACCCTGTCTTGAAAAATCCAAAAAAAAAAAAAAAATGGGCCCCATAAACTCAATATTTGAGTGTTGGTCATCAGATACTTGAGAAGGATACAGACACACTTTCTCACTCCCAGCTTGTTTGGGATTTCTCAAAGGCTCCCACAGGCTAAGACTCAGGTAGGAGAACTTTGCCTTGAGACCTCTTCTGAACTCTTGTGCGGTAGCCTATGGCACACTGATATGTATTTCAAAACCCCAGCATACTACCCTGTCAGACACTCAAGTTTCTATTGCATGCAAAGCAAAAGCATTCCAGATTCTTTGTCAGACCCAATCCCATAAGGAGATTCTGTGCTTAGTTAATTTACAACTCATTTCGGCTCCTCCAAAGGTTTGCAGCAGTGGTGTCTGTCTGTGGCTCTGAATGAAGCTGTGCCGACTAGGTCAGTTGTAGGAATGAGCAGAGGTTGTTTTCAGGGTCCGCCTTACAACCTGCCTGCCCAGGTGAGCACAGCACCCCTGACCCTGCTCAGTTTTGTACAGGCAATGACATGGATAGGAACATCTGGACCTGCTAGGCCAGAGTCATGCTTTGATTGGACAGCACCGTGTCTCAGTCACTCACGAAGAGAAAACCACTTAGCAGGATGGAAGGCTGGGAAAGAACTAGCCAGCGCATGCAAGTACCTGGCCTCTGCGTGTCTCACAGTTGTGGAGGTAGCTTAGGTGATAGATCTTCAGGTTTAATGCAGCAAAATTCAGGTACTTTGCGAAAACCTGAAACAGCAATCATAATAGACTCAGTCAGAAATCCAGATATTCAAAGATATATGTACAAAAAAGAGACATGTCTCAAAGGTTCTGGAGGAATTGCCACATACATACAAACATACTAGTTCATGGGGGTGGACTTGCACACATAAGCTCAGTCCTGTGGGGCAGGGACATGGCTCACATACAAAGATATGCAGAGGGACATGACTCATGCATCAAGAAGAACAGCTTGCACACAGCGCACACACCCAAATAACAGAGATACACAGAGATTTGAAGGACACGGTTTGTACATCTGGAGGAGCACAGCTCACATACTGGGATTAGCAGAGGGACACACACCAGACTAAGACTTGTCGAGGGACATGGTTAACCACATGAAAAGAGACAGGGACATGAAGACGAGCCAAGGCATGCTGGGAGGCAGTACATACACAGACACATAGAGCAAACACACATGAAGACATGTGTCTCTAGCATGTCCTGGACACTCACATCTTCGTCTTCACTTGTGAAGCATGGGCCATCCAGCTTGTTCACAGCCATGATCACAGCCACGACGTCTTTGCCATTCATGATTGGTGTGGACAGAATGTTCTTGGTCACATAGTCGGTGAGCTCATCAGCGAAGGGGCTGAAGTGGGGACACTGGAGCGAGACGGGGGAGGTTATTGTTGGGGTCTGTGTGGGGTCTGCGGTGTGGCCCTCTTAGGCTTCACACTGGGGCCAAGATCTAGGAGGTCACAGTCTAGACTAGCGCTGTAATGTCAGGTAGCCCCACCTCTGAACTCAGGACAGTCTCTGGCCAAAGAGAGTTCAGCCAGTCCCTAAGGTTCCTCCTAGTTCACTTCACCTCTGATTCCTAAGAAGTCTCCCAACGTTTCCTCCCAAATAGCCCCTACAAGATCCTTTAGCAACTCTCTACTTTGGGGCAAAGTTGGCCTCCTGGATGCTCATGTCTACCCCACTGCCTACTCCTCGACTTCTAGCCCAGGTGACTGTCTCCTACCCCCAGCCCCCTCCAACCCTCCTGTACATTCCTCCTGGAAAGGTAACTATGACTGAACGAAGGATGGACTCTGTTGAGACTGGTGGCTTGTTACATGTCGTCATTACTAAGACATGCGGCTGAGGAGCTGGAGCTGAGGTTTCTTTATCTTGGGGTCTGTCCACCAACCCTGCACTCAAACTCTGCTCCACAGATCACTGTCCACCATGAGACTCTGTGATATGCTGAGTTTCACCTATTTCTGGGCTCAGGGAAGATTCAAAGAGGGCTCAGGAGGGCTCCTATGTCCCATATCTGAAAGGAGTGGGCCATTGGAACTAGGCTCAGGGTACTAAGTTAGAGCCAGGCACTCTAACAGACATGTCTCTGCCTCACTCTCTGCCTTCTTGTTATTCCTTTATTTACATGAGGCCAAAGTTCCCTGGCACAGTGACTGAGGTGAGCGATTGTCTGTAACTTTAGCCCCTCGTTAGGGTCTGTCCTTGAGAACTAGAGCAGCTTTTTGTCCCCCCATTCCTGTCCAGCAGATGAAGGACAGCTATCAATACCTTTGACATCTATTGTGCCACTGTTGACAGAGATTTTCTCACATGTACTTAAGACAGTATCTTGCAGCCCTTGTGATTTGACTAATTCTCCTTAGCTCAACACTGTGAGCAATTTGTTAAGTTCCCTGCTGGCATTCTATCTCCGTGGTAGCAGGCTGGCTAAAGATGTTTAGAAGGAGCCTGCTAGCATCCTGGAGCTTGGGATGCAGGTGGAGCCAACTCTTCCCCTTTCCTGATTCTTGGAGAAGCAGCTGCCACCTGGCCGCCATGTGGCACCAAGCTGGAGGTAAACCAGCATATGTATGATAGCAGAGAAGAAAGGTGAGCAGCAAGTCCTGACAGAGGTGACATAACATCTTGTAGAAGATCACTAACTTTTTCTGGCTGAAGTGTACGTACGCGGCCTTGGTCATGTGGAAATGAAATGGTGTGTGCTCCCAAGGAAGGAATATCCTGAGTAGCTCCTCATGGTTAGTCCACTGTAGCAATTGTAAACCTGGTGGTTTGGATGTGCCTATTTCCTGATTAGCTAGAGGCTAATCCTGACCTGCAGGTTGCTTCTGGAGTAGTCTTAAAGCACTATACTAAGGCGTACAGAAGCGTTTCTGTATAGAACAAGAAATTACTTTCAGATGTTATACACAGATCTTTACGCTTGACCCTCATGTGTTGCACACAGGTCCACACTTGACCTTTATGTGACACACACACACACACACACACACACACACACACACAAAATCCTCAGATGGTTCATACATGTCCACATAGTTGACTCTTAGATCAGTGGTTCTCAACCTGTGGGTCATAAACCCTCTCGGGTCAAACGACCCTTTCATGAGGGTTGTATATCAGCAATCCTGCATATCAGATATTTACATTATTATTCATAATAGTAGCAAAATTAGCTATGAAGTAGCAATGAAAATAATTTGTGGTTGGGGTTGCCCCAACATGAGTATTTAAGGGCCACAGAATCAGGAATGTTGAGAGCCACTGCCATAGACAAAGCACAGTTGATCCTCCGATGAGGCACAGAGGTCTACGATGTGACTCTCAGGGACACAGGCCATACATGCTAGGTCATTGTCTTAGGGTTTCTATTGCTGCGGTGAAACACCACGACCAAAATAAGTTGGGAAGGAAAGGGTTTATTTGGCTTACACTTCTGTCCACTACTGAAGGAAGTCAGGAACTCAAACAGGGCAGGACCCTAAAGGCAGGAGCTGATACAGAAGCTGTGGATGGGTGCTGCTTACTGGCCTGCTTCCCTGGGTTTGCTCAGCCTGCTTCCTAATAGAATCCAGGACCACCAGCCCAGGGATGACACTGCCCACCGTGGGCTGAGCCTGCTTCCACCCATCACTAATTGAGAAAACACCTTACTGCTGGATCTCACGGAGGCATTTCCTCAGCTGAGGCTCCTTCCTCTCTGATGACTCTAGCTTGTGTCAAGTTGACCCACAAAACCAGCCAGTACAGTGGTTGTCTAGTTTTGCTTTTCTTACTGGCTTTATTTCTGCCACATTTCTCCTCACATTTGAGACCTCACTTTAGCACCCGTTTTATCTAGATACCTTAGAAGCCTCATTTTGTAAACAAAACCATAGAGTAGCTTGGGATATTCCTACTTCTTTCACTTGACCTGGCCTCCACCAAGGAACCTCACCTATTCATTGCGCTCTCTCTCTCTCTCTCTCTCTCTCTCTCTCTCTCTCTCTCTCTCTGCATTTTCTTCCCCTGATGGAAATTAAATATGATAAAGGTATGATTTTAAAATGCTCTCCTTGTTACTCAGCCTCCCTGGCTCTGTTGATTATAGCATGGTTATTTTTTACTTTATAGCTAATATTCACTTACGAGCGAGTACGTACCGTGTTTGTCTTTCTGGATCTGAGTTATCTCACTCAAGACGATCTTTCTAATTCCATCCATTTGCCTGTAAATTTTATAATGTCATCGTTTTTAACATTGAGTAATACTCCACTGTGTAATCATTTAAAAAATTGAAGAATCGATAAAGAAAATTTGGTACATTTACACAATGGAGTATTACTCAATTGTTGATAAAAATGACATCATAAAATCTGCAGGCAAATGGATGGAACTAGAAAAAACCATCATGAGTGAGGTAACCCAGAATCAGAAAGACAAACACAGTATGTACTCACTCATAAGTGGATACTAGATGTAAAGCAAAGAATATCCACACTAAAATCCACAGCTCCAGAGAAACTAGGTAACGAGAAGGACCCTAAGAGGGTCACATGGGTCGCCCTGGGAAGGGGAATTAGATGGGATCTCCTGGGTAAACTTGGGGCGGGGGGGCGGTAAAGGGAGGGGAACAGGGATGAGAACATGAGGGAACGGGATGGTCAAGAGTGGGGAGGGATGGGGTGGAGAGCAGTGAAAGAGATATCTTGATAGCGAGAGTCACTATTGAGTTGGGGGAAACCTGGTCCTAAGGAAATTACCAAGAATCCACAAGGATGATCCCAGCTAAGACTCCTAGCAATATGGAGAGGAAGCCCAATCTGGCCTTCCCTGTAATCCAATTGATGACTATACCAATATCATCATAGATCCTTCATCCAATAACTGCTGGAAGAAGATGCAGAAATCCACAATGAAGCACCAGGCCAGGTTCCGGGAACCCAGCCAAAGAGAGGGAGGGAGAATGTGGTTGGAATGTAAGATGAAATTAAAAAATAAATTAATTTAAAAAAAAAGAAGAAAAATTCCAAGAGATGGGCACTAATAGTTACATATGCTTATGTGTATTGGAAAATTTTACTCGTTATATAAAATAATGGATATTTATTACTACTAAGATAAAATATGAAGTATGAAAATAGTTTAAAAAGATGTGCTATATAATAGCTTTAGAAATATTGACTAAATATTGATAAAATCAAATATTTAATAACAGTAATTTACCTCCTACTTACCAGTATGTGACAGTTTTAAATAAAATATTAAATTGGGTAATTTCACATATTATTTGTGTGCATTTGTCACACAAAGTGTGGAAATAATTAAGAATAATTATCAAATAAATAAGTAAATTGCTCGCGAATCCCTTTAATCTGCCATGCCCTTTTTTCTGTGGCATCTGCCTTCCTGGATTTTCTGCCTCTGGACCAGGTTCCCAGTCTCCTTATCAGGTGCCTAGTGTTGGTTCCAGGTGTACAATTGCTATCTTTGTATTGAAACAATTTGTCCTAGTCTCACCCGTCCCTGGTATATCAAACCTTTTCCCACTTAGGACCCTGCTCTGGGGTCTTTACCCCATAGCCTACGTCCACAGAATCTTGGTATCTTTATGGGTATCTCATGATTCTTACAAGACAAGAATCTTAAGAAGGTAGAGAATTGCTGGGGTCCAGGGCCAGAGACTGGGCAGAACTGGGGCTTGTCCCTCATGGCAGATCTGGTTATATTCGTGTCTCTCTGAAAAACTGGTTTAAAGTGAGGTTGGTGATACAGATATCTGGGGATATCTATGCCAAGTCTGGCTAGCGTTCTCTTTTGAGCTTCCTTCTGTAAATCCACAGGTGAGACAAGAATATAGAGTTCCCTAGGACAAGTCTCCTTCTAGCCTTAAGCATATGACTACCTCATAGCTAAATTTTTACCTTCCTGAACAAGCACAGGACCAAACTAGCCCCTCTGAATGTGGTTGACAGTTGCATGACTGGGGCAGACTGAAGAGCCACTGACAGAGGCACCAGGATTGATCCCTACTGCTTGTACTGGCTTTTTGGGAACCTATTTTCTTTAGATGGATACCTTGCTCAGCCTAGATGTAGTAGGGAGGGCCTTGGACGTTCCCCCAAAGCAATGAGCCTTACCCTCTCTGAGGAGTGGATGGAGGGTGAGTTGTTGGGGGTAAGTAGAGGGGATGGGAGTAGGGGAGGGAGTGGGAACTTGGATTGGTATATATAATGAAAAAAGATAGTTTGTTTCTTTTTAAAAACAATTTAAAAAATTAAATTTAAAAAAATTACCTTTCCTTGATTTCCATCACATGCATGTGTTTCAGTCAGTCAGGGGTTGATGTGTGATTCCCCTCTGTATGCTATGATTATGTT